CCCTCAGCCAGGGTCAACCCACCACATATATGTAATATTTTCAATAGAAAATTTAACTGTACAGTACAGGAAAAGTAATTATTACATCACTTTAGGTAGCAAAGACACATCACTTCAGGAAATGCCACTATGTTCTCATATTGGGAAGTATTCCCTTAAAAGAATTGTCATACTATCTATATATCTTAGTATCTACCAAAGGATACTCACAGAAGAGTTTAAAAAAACAGCAAGTATATAACAGTACTTTGTTATATGTGCAGCCTCACCTTCACACAAAACTGAAGGGTCTACCCAGTAACTACATAGTGTAAAGTAGCTTCTCAAGTTAAACAGTAATAAACATCTGTCAAACCATCTGTCAAGCACTAAAGGAAAAAAAACCAAAACAAAACACAAAAAGGAGACAGGAGGGAAAAACCCCACAAACCATAGGACAGAAGTTGCTGGCACTACCTTGGAGTAAATGGATGATGTGATGGATAAATTTTCCTTCCATTAAAAAAAAAAAAAAAGTTATGCATGCTGTTCTATGTTAATAGGCTTTAGACAAGAAGCTCAAAAGCTATTTCCAAACTAGCAACTAACTGTTAATTCTACATTAGTTGTGTAACTAACTGTTATGGAAACCATTCAAGGAGAAAATTCTGCAGTCGATAGGGACAGAGTTCTGTAGATGAGTAGTCAGATAATAAAATTAGGAACAAGTCATGAGTTATGAAGGTACCATTGGTATCAGTTTTCATCTTGACCACAGCCAGACGTCACACACGCCGGATTCCACTGCTATTCAAGCATCTAGGTGCTATGGAAGCATCTGGATGCTGATAGCTATGCTACTAATTTTAATATTTATGTTACAAGCACAGAGTGGGCCATACACATGAAATTCCAGCATACAATACCAGCTAGCTGCATATTTTCTGAAACTATTCTAGCACAGTTAAGAAATATTTGCGTAACAGCAATTAAGAACTCCATTTTGAATAAGTGAGGCTATTTGACTAAGACAATTTAGAACAATGCAAACCACATGTTTGACACATAAAACTAGCAGCTCTTGTCCCATTTCTATACATCCATACTACCTCAGAACATTATTTACTTTCCTAAGCAGGTGAATTTATTGCATTTTGATACAGAATTTTCCCTTACAGAACTGTTTCTTTTCTTCCAAGGTTTTCTTCCATGAGGAATGTTAAAAACACAAAAATGCTAAATTCATGCTAATGAAATATGTCCATTAAAATCTTTACAGACTGGATGGTCACATCCATCCTGTAGATTACCATACTAACAGCTGCTTGTTGTTCTGTAAAGTACTTGTGCTACAGAAACAGATCTGGTGCCAATGTCTTTTAAATGACCTACGGAAAATAACCAAAGGAAGAGTCTCTTTTATTACTGCTCTACAAATATTGAATATTATTGTCAGACTGTATTCTGAGGTGACTGGAAATGCCATATAGGTTAGGAGAAAACTCTTATTCTGTTCAGAATAAGGATTGTGTATTTTGTTCCTCCTTCTATGCTCATCAATACAAGACTGAAGTGAAAGATTTCTGTTAATTCTCACAAAAGGCCTATGGCAAACAGTACAAGAGTCCCTACAGTAGCTCACTTACGTGCCTCAATTAGATCTGGACTACAGTTTTTTCCTCTGGACTGAAATGCAGCGCAAGCTCTGTTCGATCAGTCAACTGTCCAGTAGAAAATAAGCGACACCTGTCTAATTTAATTCCACTGGTGAGATACCCTATCTATTAAAAAGCTACCAGAAAGTTAACCTCTTGAGCCTGGTCAGAATTTGAACTTCCTGTGACTCATGGAGGGTGGAAGGAGGGGGAAAAAAAAAAAAAGAAAAGAAAAAAAGTAATGAGATGGAGAACCAATATCCCCTAAAGGAATTGCCCTCAAATGAGAGCATTTATTCTCTCTGCTGCTTCCCACAAACCTCTAGGGATTCCAACCCAAGATCTGGCTTATAAATAAAGTGTTACCAAAGAATTATTTCATACAAAAGCCTTGAAACAGTTCTCTATGAATCAAGTTTGCCAAAAAATAAACAAAGCTTTTTTTTTTTTTTTCCCTAATTTGTGTATAGCCTTCCAACATACAAACTTCTTGCTTAATAGTCATAAAACTTAAGTATCTTAACATTCAGGACAACTATTTGGTATGTTAACAGATCTCATAATTCCTTCTGAAAAAGACTGTAAAAAAGGAGGAAGGATTAATTCATTACCATGCCCTTAAAACTGTAAAGAAATGAGGACATAAACCCAATATTGTCTTCCACCACCTCCAGCAAAATCCTCCAATATAAAAGTTTCTTCATAGAAGAATGTTTTGGTTGATGACAGAAGGAGCCTTTAGAGTCTGGTCTCCCAAGGAAAATTAGCCTCCTCTCTCCATTAAAAAAAAAAAAAAACAAAAACCACCAACCCCACAATGCACAAACATCAGGCATAGCATGAAATACTTTAGTGCACTACCAGAGTGGTTTGGTTTTGTTTTAAACTCTTGATGCATTTACCTCAGTTGGTCCAGCATACATCATGGGGGAAGGGAATATAGCCACTACTGTTGTTTCTGGATTCAAGATCCCCTCCTCCAGTACTGCAGCATGTTGCTTCATGCGCCACATGAGAGGAACATCATCCTCCTTTGTCCAGCCTCCAAGAGGATGCAAGAGTAAAACTGGGCGCCGGTAGCCACGTTCCAAAAGCTGTTTATGAGTATCCTGCATTAAAAGAGCGTGCCCATTGTGCACTGGGTTGCGCAACTGGAATGCAAAGACAGCATCTATGGAGAAAGAACAGACAAAACATATAAGGAAAGCAAGTTATTTTATCAGGAGTTGAACAACCGTAGAAAATTCTTCAAACAGTACAATCTTTCCTCTGAATTCTATTAAACAAGTATAATAGCAGTAGTCACAGGTCACTAAAGGATTATGAATTATTATAAAATCATTATACTCAAAAAGCAAAACTAATAAAAATCCACCACACTAAAAAACCCATAAATCAGCTTCCTTCATTTTTGAGATTTCCGCAGAATTACTGCAGTTTCTCCAATAGGTATAATCTCTTTGGATTTTTCACTTGCATGAGTATATAATATAAAGTTATATTCTAAGAGAAAAATCAAACTATGCTACCTGTCTTAGAGGCTCAATGTATCATTAGGAGAACAAATGGGACATGTTTGCAACAAAACAGAAGAGAATTTAGAGTGCCTTAATAAGTTTCCTTCACCTAAACAGCTTAGTAGAGTTTACACACAGTAAGAACAAAGCCAGGCTAACTGCTATTCCAAAGTATTACAAAGCCTTCAGCAGAAAATCCTGACACAACCAGGTTTTCTCCCTTCTGCAAATTAAGATGAACTTAAGTAACCTGCAAGACAGCAAAATCACCATAACTGAGAGGTTTTCCAATAAAGAACCAGTGAAATCTAAAGAACTGGTTGTTTTCACATATCAAATATATTTATTTAGGGGTTAGCTAAAACAAAGACTGGTATCTCAATCCTGCAGATCCGGGAATTACTGACCACACTGAAAAAAGACAGGAGCTCAGGACTAATCTCTGTTTGCATTCTTGGTGTTAATCTGTTCCTCACACTTAGAGGTGCTTAGCAGCTATCTGCCAGTCACTGCCACAATGAAGGCAGTTATGTTTGATTGTTGTCTGCTTTATGACATTACTCAGCCTCTTATCTGCCTAACACAACTGCTTTAGTAAGAAAACCAGCTTTGTTTTTTCTGCAACATAAAGCTAGCAGTTAGCTCACAATTTTTTAACTGTTGATACCTGTGAATATTGAAATATTAAGATCAGCTCAAGCAATTAGAGCCATTACTCAATAGATGTAACCAAACAAAAAGGGAAACCATTGTAACTTAGAAAATAATTAGTTGTAAGATAAGAAGCTCTGGAACAATCTCATTTTAAACAGCTCGGCCTTGGAAGAACAGATGCGCAAAGATAAGAAAGTTACAAGGTGATCACAAAACCAGCCTTGAGGGATAAGGTATATGTGATACCAGGACTGAGTCTGAAGACCCCCGAGGACCACCCAGAGGTGCCAACAAACATGGGCGAAAGACATTAGCATATGTTAACGAGTTCCTGGAAAATCCATGAATATGATAAGCACTACTCGGAAATATACTGAATATGTATATTAACATAGTATAAATACTTGCTAGTTTTGTCTTTTGGGTGTGCACGTTAGGTGGAGTTATCCCCCATGCACCCAGAGCTGCAATAAAGAATGCCTGCTTTCTAAAACTTCAAAATAAGTCTTAGAGAGTGAATTATTTTGCCGCTTTCAGGTAACACTGTGATATATTCCCCTTTGCACCAGTTTACTTGCATTACAGTTATAAACTTTGCTCCCCAGAAGTAGCATGGAACGGACTTAAAAATAGCAGAGCATGAAAGCTTAGTGCTCAACCATACCTCTACAGTGTTAGCCAAACCTGATAATTCTTAAATCACATTCTACCTCATTTTAACATTATCTTTTCTTGCATTAGCAACATTTCTAGTGTGCATGGGAAGATAAAATTCAGAACCTTTGTATTTAGGCAATGCAATGCATGAGATCATGAAAATTAATACCAGTAAGAGGCAAAGAATGCCACTTAAAAGCGCATTCACAATCTTCATCCTTGAAACAATGCAGGCCCCTGTGGTATTGAGGCAGCAGGCATTTGGATAAATCTCTGCAAGAAGAAACAGAACAAGAAAAACTTGCCAGCATTCATTTCCTTGAATTTCTGCCTTAGTTCAGCTGGAGTGAGACGGTATTGATCAAGTCCATCATTCCAATAAATACGATCAAGGACTTGTAGATCTCCACCTACAAGCCAGTTCCCTTGCTCCATAACCATCTAAAAAAAGAAAGGAAATCGTTGTTAGGATTGGTTGTCAGCTTCTCCTGAGCATTTAGAGCATTGCAATGGGGTCACATCTTTACCAAGGGAAGCGTTCCAGGTTAATTTTATTTGACAGTCTCAAGCCAAGCAGAAATGTTTTAAAAAAAAAAAAATTAAAAACCTCCCCAAAACCACTGGAACATAGTCCAGACACGTTATACCACAGTGCAGGAGAGATGCACAAATCTTCAGTAGGCATATGCCTTTCTCAAAATAAATGATTTATAAGTATAATAAGTAACCAGTATTCTTAACCTACATTATTACATGACAAAAGGAGATAGTGGCTGGAGAGCCTAATACACTAAGTACAATAGAGTTGCACATTTTATAGTTGTTGATCAAAGCAAATGTAGTTCTAGTATCACTCTGCATTTCACAAGATTCTGGTCAGCAATAAAGTAATTAATAAAACAGTTCTGATTAACTACTCACCCACTTCAATTTACAAATAAAATCAGAATCTTTGAGGTAGGATAGCTTTTGGATTTATTTCATGGTAGCACTTTACCAAGGCAACATATATTTTACACTCACTTGAATTGCTTTGATATCATCAAATACCAATTCAGCCTTTTTAAAAAATAATTATGGCAAGCTGCTTAATGTACTCTAGCACTGGCCATAGAAAGCACTCAGAAATTGTTAATTTCTGAGAATACATTTGCTTTTGAAAATGGAACCACAAAACCACTTCCACATTTCATACACATTTCTGATAATTTTTTAGCCTTATGTAATTTAAGGATGACAACAACAGTTGATATAAGACATTATATACTAAACCCACAATCCAAGATGTTAAAATTAAGTGTGGATTTGTCAATTTATTTTTGCTTGAAGGTAGACAACCTGCTGGAATTAAATGATGCTACAGTCACCGCCCTCTTCCAAAAGAAAATGGCAGACTTTGACATCTTACCAAGGTGAGAGGAAGGAGATCTTCATAAAGATATGAAGATGAGAAAACTCCGCACTACAGTAACTCTCAGGCATTTAAAGATTTCTGATGAATTTAGGAGGGCCACCAGATTCATGCGCTGTCATGATACTACTATGCACACATTCATATGCTGTAATGATACTACTATACGCCCCAGTACAGACACAAGAACATAGCCCCTTACCTTCTACATTAGTTTCAGCCATGTCATTCTGTAATTGCTAATGCATTACAACAAGTCATTCCAATCTTGTCTGCATGAGATTTTCTTAGAATTTTTTAAATTTGTGTTAAGTTTTCAATAAAGGGGTAATCTTATGTTCATCAGCACAGAACACAGCAAGGGCTTTGAAAATCTTCCAGAATACTCTTACTTGTATCTAGCAGGAAACGTCCTTTTTCAGATATACTCCTGAATACAACTTCAGTCAGTAAAAGGATGTCATCACACATTAATAAAGAAATTGATTACATTATTAATAAGAAGTAAAAAAAAATCCATAGTTTTCACATATGTATAACTATTAGTCATACAGATACTTTTAGAACACATCAAAGGCAAGCTCATAATTTGAGGTTTGATTTCTTTTTATATGATTTTAAGTCATAGTTGTAAACAAAAAGAAACTATAGAGACAAATGGGGAAGAAACATGTTGGCTCTGCAGAGTTAAGATGCACCACTTACATCAGCTTGCAAAACCAAACACAGCATTGTGACGAGCATGTTACAATTAGAATATTTCAGTATGACATACTCATAAGGTCAAGATAATAAAACATACTGAACACAATGGATGGGAAATAAGTGCCCAGAGACTTAAATGATGAACCTCCAGGAACCAGGCCTATTTCAAAAGCATCTAAACCAGGCAGTTCTCACGTGCTCCACATGCAAGCACAATAGAAGTTTTCTTGCCTCCACAATGCATATATCCACTGATTAGGGAGCTTTGATGATCCCTCTGGCTACACAGAGGGATGTGTTTCCTAGGCACACTAGAGGGCAAAGTTCCCTCTTCTGTAGCACAGATTCTGCAGTACATTCTAAATTCATTTCATGTGTATGTATTTACATGAGATTTTCACACTAAGTGCAGACTATTCAACAGCTGCATAGAACAACAACAAAAAAATCACCTTTGTTTCTGCTCAAATGTTTTAATTAGTTCCTAAAGTAATTTTGCTGTTGAAATACACCAGTCACAGACATCAGCTTCACTAATTTGCAGCTCCACAAACAGTACAGCTAATAGGACTAGATTTTCAACTTTTAAACACACACCTTGATATAGGGATGTTCCTTGCATGTTGTCCCCCATTGCCTTGCACAGCGTTCCTCTTTCCTGTGTTCGTAGAATTCAGGATTACGGAGAATGGCCACACGGCGACCTGCATACACCAGTGCAATTGCTGTACACCCATCCAGTCTTTCTTTGTCTTCTTGAGTAGCTGTTAGCACTATAGGCACTGACAGATTAATAACTCCCCCTGCAGAAAGAAGGAAAAACAAGTCCTTATCCTTGGTAATGGTCATCAATGACACTATGAAAATCTATCCTCCTAAGAAGGTAGAGTCCAGACCGTATCACACAACATGTAGTTCAAGTACCTATTTTAACAGGGGTTAAAAGCAACTTTTAGCATGAACTCTTGCAAAAGATATGTGTCCTATAAAAACGTGCAAGTACTGAGGTTTGAGAAAGAGTAAAGACAGTACTGAAAAGAGCAAGCACTAATAGCTGCACACAAGTATTTAGACTGTGAAGATACTACTTTTTTGGGATCTCAGATGAGTATCTTGTTCAAGAAGCTATACAGTAAGCAGAAATACACAACTGACATTTTTAAACAGATCTAAAACATTATGCAAAACTGCTACTGGAGTGGATGAGTAAAAAAGAAATAGCATTAGATTGGATATTAGGAAAAATTTCTTCATCAACAGGGTTGTCAATCATTGGAATAGGCTGCCCAGGGAAGTGGTTGAGTCACCATCCCTGGAAGTACTTAAAAGACTTGTAGATGTGGTGCTTAGGGACATGGTTGGACTTGGCAGTGCTAGGTTAACGGTTGGACTTGATGATCTTAAAGGTCTTTTCCAACCAAAATGATTCTATGATTCTCAGGAGCCGTACTTCTGGTCTGTAAGAAAAGTTCAATGCGATAGAAGCAGCCAAATGTACCCAAGTAGTTAGCATGTATAATTCAACTATTTCAAAAGGTGACTTTTTCTGTTTACATAAAACTGTATTCAGATTCAAGCATATGTATTTCAGAAAAAACTGTTGAGTCAGGCAGACATTTTGCACAGTTTGTTCAGCTGAAAGCTTAACAGCTACTTTACTTCTAAAACTAAACCAATGTATCTGAATTTTAAGGTTATGTGTGATCCTCATTTTTAAGCATTTACTCCACTGCTAGATGCTGGAAGTCTTGGGTTTTTTGACTACAAGAGCAAGATTTGAGAAACCCAGTGGAGTAAATACTGTACAAAGGCTTGAATTCTAATGAGCATACAATTGCTGAAAGAGTGCAAAACTTTTTGGTGCTCTCCAGCAGAAGAGTCATGGGGGTTTTGCTATTTGCTTTAGTGGGGTCAAGACTCCAAATAACACCGATTTTGCCAACTTGGTCATAAAATTGAGCTTGGCAACAGTCACAGGGTGATTTGCCACCCCAACTTGTTAAATTAAAAATATCCTTTTGCTTTGCAACCAATAAATACTTCAAACTGGGAAGATATCTCAAACCTGTTGATTATTACAATTTTGTCAGCAACTAATAATAAATATATAATACCTTTGATATCTGTCTGCAGCCACTGTACAAACGAGAAACTGAGGCAAGGTAGTGGAGTGAGTTTGTTAAGTCACAGATGAGCACAGTGTCAGCTTGAGACTATTTCAGATAAGCTTTAAAGCTTAAGTTATCTGAACACACCTGCACAGATCTCCATAATGTAGAAGTCAGTCAGTATGAACGCTGCATTAGAGCCCAAAGGAGGAGATACATTGAAGGTATCAAACAATTTTTCTTGCCAAAATCAAAACCTTGGAAAATGACTGCTGCTTTGAGATTCCAGAACTAACATACCAAGCAGGGAGAAAACGTTTATGTTTTTGTTTTGATTTAACTGTTGCCACTACTTCAAGCAGCAAAGCAGCTTTAAGGCAAACACATTTTTCTAAAAAGGTTCTCATATGTAAATGTTACAGTAGATATTTAAGAAAAGGAGATATGGTAGCATCTAAAAAACCACGACTGTCCTATTCAAGCTTAGGACTGAAAATCAATAAGTTATTCATTACTTTTTATTACTCATATTTTTTGCAGCATACGTGAGGTACTAAAAACAATTGCAAGAGAAGTTTAAAAACTTGTAATATTGGCATACGTGAAACACTCGCTTATACAAGGTCTTAAATGTCTTATAAAAATTCCAATTTACAGAAGATTACAGAACAGAATAAGGGGCTACAAGCTTTTTTTAGCAGTTGAATGCATAGCATGCCATCTGCAGAGGATGTTTCACCTGAATGAACACACAGAAGGCAAATGGAATGAACACAAAACTAGCAGTCCAAAATGATACTTTAGATACTCCAAACTTTAGATACTCCCAAATAACAGGGTGACATTATTTTGCCTAGGATAGTATCTGACAGACTTATAGAAAAGGGGACTAGAAAAATTTAAGAGGGACAACAGATGTCTGGATCATAGATTTGAAAGACAAGCAGCTTCTTTTTTCCTGCTATTTGGTCTCCAGCAAGAGAAGAGTAATGTAGAAGAAAGTGGGGAGACAGGAATTCTTACTATTACTTTTTGATATAGAGAGTGCAAAAAAACCCTAAAAGGCTGGAGTAAAACAGAGCCCTCAGAGAGGAATAAATGAAAAATAACAGACGATCAAAATCAAATTCCAAAACCTGAGGATGTTATCAGTTGTAGACTGCCTTAAGTAATGCTTGCTCTTAGCCAATTGGTAATGACAAAATAAAATATATTTGTTTAAATCATCACAGGATAATTACTATGTTAATTACATGTGACAGTTGTTCATATTCAAGCCACCTCCTCAAGTTCTGATTTCATACTTGCAATAGCTCCAGCACTCAAATCAGTTCATTGTCCTTTCCTTCATTGTTATTATGGAACAAATGTTTTCGCACACATTATCTTTTCCTTCATTACTATTATGGAACAAATCTTTTGGCACGCAGAGCTAAACAGCAATTCTGAATTCTAAAATCAATTTCTTCAAAACAAATTAGAAATGTGGATTTTAGGTTTAAATGTTTTTCACAAATGAAAAAATTTGAAAAATATAAAGGTAAAATTACAAGACATTCAAACTCTAACACAACAGTAGATACAAAAAGAATAAAACCATAAAATTTAAACTGATGATTATAATATCCCATTCTCTTACCCCAGGTTGCCCACTAGCCTGATAACATGTCACCACACCAGCACAAAGCAGCAAAGCATCAACAATATTTTAGAAGTAGGATTAGTTTGCTCAGTTTTACCAATGCTAAGTTTTACCCTACCATCGAGGAGACAGTCAAAGTGAAGGCACTGTAGGTATTCTCTCTCTCTCATAAAGCCATTCAGGGGTGTTGCCCAACCTTCTGCTAGCACTTGCACCCATTGCATATCCACCTTATAAAGACATGGAGAAATAGAGCAGATAAAATGTGTTGCTTAATGATTGACATCAGGTATTAATCATAATAGATCATGATTTACCCATAAAATGCAGGACAGTATAAATGGAAGATTTCTCAGTATTAGTTTTTAATCACAAAGAATTCAAAGTTTCTACAAGTAAGAAAAAAAAAAAAACCCTAACACCTTGTTGCACGCTGTTCATATTTTTGGCTATTTTCCAGTTCTTACACTAGATCAAATTTGTCAAAAAACAAGCCAAACAGCAACAAAAAACCCCACAACAAACTTTATTTGTAAATGTTTGATGAAGTTCAACTTAAGAGAATTAGAGAGCTCCACTTGCATTTATTTTAACAAAGCAAGATAACCAAGAGGTTAAGAAAGAAAAAAAAAACCCCAACACATACAATTACCCCCAAAATATCAGAATGTTAAGAGGTCTAATCTTAAAACAGATTAGAAAGAAAATTTTTATTGCAGAAACCAATGAGACAATCCAAAAGTAAAATTCTCTCAGGACTAGTACTTATTTTAGTTTAAGAGGTATCAACTTACAGGGAATTTCCTTCTTTAGCACTTCAACAGTCATATTACGACTTAGTGTGCAGCCTCTATTATTTCTGCATGTGCATTACTAAGACTCAGTCAAGTCTTTGACAGACAGGCTATGCTGTGCAAGTCTCTTTTGCAAAGACCATGACTAATTTTACTACACCATATAATTTATGCTGAAGCAAGTACAACATACATTTTCCTCCCAAGCTTACATTATATGCTTGCTTGATATTTAACAAATAACTGGTTGGAGGTGGAGGGGGAAAGGATTTGTTTTTCTAGATAGGGAGCAATTTAGAACAGGACACTACAAAAATTTAATAATGGTGACCTTAAATATTTATTCCTCATCAAAGCAATAAATAGCTTTACAGACACATACGTGAAAAAAAAATCTAGTAAGATGCAGTGAAAGTAAGTATTAAAGTTTATTAGTAATAGAAGGCTAGGAAAATTTTAAAAATATTTAATTCAGTGCTTAGTATGTCATCTCAGTCTTTCAAAGTCAAGTTACTCACTGCAGATGCTCAACTCTGAGCTTAGTCAGCTCCTATCAGCTCCTAGATCAAATGCTTAGCTTTAAATTCTAGTAATACTGTCCAAAAAAAAAAAAAAAAAAAAAAAGGCAGTGAAAAAACTTATGCATTGTATCTGTGTTTAGGCCTAGTTCTTCAGAAAAAGAAGATGAGGTAGAACAGAAACACAGTCAGAAGCAGCTTTAATTTATCTCAGTTGGAAAATAAAGCATTTAACCAAAATAAGAACAGTTGATCAAGTTGATCCATGCTTTTCCACATTTTCTCTGCTGGAAGTCAGAAAAGTAGCATGAATATGTTCTAACCAGAAAACAAACAAACAAACAAACAAACCCCAAACAAGCAATAAAGTAGATCTGATCATTTCTCTGTAGACTTAAGTTTGCAACTGTTTGAGCTTGGTATATAAGGTTACTATCACTCAGCTGAAGGTTACCAACAAGGAGAATCAAGAAGCAGTAACTGATTTCCTTCATATTTCTAGGTCATTACCATTCAAAATAAAATGGTTTGTGTAAGTAAACTGGGGAAAAAAAAAAAAAAAACAACCAAAAAAAACCCCCACAACTATTTCTTCTAGAAAACACTATTCATACAAGCCATGCCAGGCATGGTTTAGTCCATAGATGAAGAGGTGGTAGGGGAGACATGGGAGGAAGTCATTGTAAATTTAATCTCCAGGCTTGAGACAAGCTAACACTATACCAGACATTATTTAGGAAATTACGAAGATTCAATTGTTATCTCTAGTAAGTGATCAAAGAAAACACAGATGCTGCTATTTCTCTCAAGAAAAGAAGGCAAAAGTATATTGAGATAAATTGTGTAATCAGTACAGGTGTTTTGACTATATCTACTTCCACTCAGCAATAGATTAGACTGCCTTTCAACTTCACCAATGAGACAACTGAACATACAATACCTTATTTATTTCCAGGGTTAACAGAGACTCAGCATCAGTTTTGGCCAACTGTAGCTTGTTTTCTGGCACATAAAGCTCTTTCACCTCATAAGAGGCATCCACTGGTACAATATCCTGTATAAAAGGAATAAACAGAACTTAATGTTTGCTCAGAATGCTGCTTGGACACTGAACATATGGTCAAGTAGTAAAATTCTAATGTTGCACTACTCTGTAGCAAGAGCTTATTCATTAAGCAAATTTTACTCATTTAAAAATCAGCACTGTTCCAAGAATATGATATATTGCTAGCCAAGCTTCTGGCTTGAGTAACTAAAGTGAAACATTCTGACAAGATTTTTTTTTTCTAAACCTTAAGTGCCTCATGTAACATTTACCTGGTAAATATTTAACTATTGAGTTAAGTGCAGTTTTATGACTTATTAATGCATATATTATCTACAGCAGAAAGGAAAAGTCTATGCTTTTATACCTGCTAAAGTAAAAAAGGTTTTAGAGAGTCAGCATTTATAAATTTAAGTCTTTCACTATACCACAACCATTAGAAGTGGTAACATGGAGGAAAAAAAAAAATAAATCTCTCAACTGAAAGTGATTAACACAGAAGTACAAATTAAATTTATTACCTACAGCTAATGCCATAACACCAGTGTCTTAATCTATATGCTGACACTTAGAACATCTAAATGTGAGGCCATTTGTGCATATACATATGCAATGAACTGAAATCTAGTTTCATAGCCAGAATACCACAGAATATCAATTGTTTATTTGGGGGAAAAAAAAAAAAATCAACATTTTCCTCCATGTGTTTTAAATAAGATATTCTCACTCCACGATGCTCAGGACTCAAGACTTTAAACTTCTGATAAGATATGAATGGCCATCACGATAAAACTTTAAAGGATGGTGTAAAATGTCAAAACTTAGTCAAATGTTCCAGTGATACTCAGTAGCAAAAAAAACAAAAAACAAACAAAAAACCCCAGTGAAAGGTAGTTGACTATTCTTTTTAAAACAGATTTTTCAGTGTTTTGGAAAATTTTGTAAAGTATTGCTTTACTTTTTGAGAAAAAAGCTCACCCTTACAGCAAAGTATATACTGACCTATAACAAGAATAAAGAAGTTATCTTTATTTTTCCAGTATATGCAACTCAGAGTAAACAGGTATGCCTGTAGGAAACACAATGTTTGCCCAAGCATTTTAAAGCATTTATCAGACATTAGGCACTACCTCCATGGAAAGTAAAACAAAGGGAGTGGGATGATGAAAGGAAGTGGGAGATTAAATGACTACGGGAATAAAAACACATAGTGAGTCTCACTGGCTGTTACATAATTCCTATCTCCAAAGACAAATTAGAGGAAAATTAATTAAGCTAGCACTTAGAAATTGTGTTTTATAAGGAAAAGCTCAGTCCATTACATATCAGACATCATTTAGGAAGCTGATTTTATTAGACAGTAAGTTACACAATACCTACCTTCTACTTCCTTTGCCTGAGCAGCAGCATTACAGCCCAGGAGAGCTGCAGCAGACTCCTGCCACAGCAATAAGCCCAGAATCAAATAAAGGTAATACCTGCTGTAAAGAACAGCAGACCTTACAAACAATATATAATGACTGAGTACACATTATGCTGCTTCACAGAAGATTCCCCTCTGGACCCTAGTTCACTACCATGCTAGAATGTCCTAAGTTTACAAACCATCAAAAGCATAAAGTAAACATACCTATTAAAAAAATCTCTTCAAATATTACACTGTTTTTAGTGTCCCACTAATGGGCAAAACAATGGAGAAAACAAAGGTTTCACGATGCAGTTTCTGTCAACAACCTATCTCATTATAAGGATGTAAACAGCTTGAAGACAGTTCTAGCAACACTGAGTCAGACATTTAGAAAATTTGTAGGATTAGTAAGCCTAGACTCCCTTGCAGACATAAAAATTGTATTTAAAACAAGATCTTAGATTTAAGAAAAAGCAAACCAACAACCAAACCAACCAAAAAAACCACCACAAAACAGCAGCAAGAGGAATCCACAGGTCTTTAAACTGTATGAATTTTAGGAAAATGCTAGGCTAGCAAGCCATCTAGTGACCACTTTAAGGTAGTCACTTTACTCAAAGGTTCATTTTACCAAGTCTCTAAAACTTTTTTTTACTTTAGCAACAAAACATTCCTCAAGATTTATTATTTCTCAATGCATTCAAATAAATAACAACAAAATAATAAAAACATAAACTAGATGCTTTATGGGAATGTGCTGCCTCAGGCTGCGGTGGTAGGTTCTTTGCTAATGCTGTCTAACATCCTCAACATTCTGTAAAGAAAGGGCCTTCAGGCAAGTTTCCGGTAGATGGGCGCTCACAACTGACATCCAATTTACATTATTGAATGACTAATCTTATAAGTTCATATTAATTGAGGTGTGAGACCACTGAACTGTTTATATATGGAAAAAACAAACATAAGTATTGCTTGACTAAAAACCACTGAAGTGTTGGTACCTACAGCTTGCAGAGAAGTTTGTCAGTACTTTAAGTATAGGGAAAACTGAAAAGTGCAATGACAGCCATGATCTTAATCTGCCCATCAGTTGTGCTCTATCACATTTTAAATTCACTTGAGCCATAGGAACACTCCTCCTCTTGTGTCAACAAGAGGGATTTCTGACCCCAGCCATTCACTGCCATTTTTCTCAAAAGATGCCCTTTACACATTTGTTTTGGTCAAACTAAGTCATGTTTAGTTTACATAGTACATCTGTATCAACCTAAATCATTACGACCAAAACCATCTAAGAAATACTCATATAAACCTATCAGCAGATTTAACTGGATGACTGTTGCCTAAATGGTCTCTGCAATTAACATGGAATGGCTCTGAACTTAAACCTTGCCTGTGCCTTTTCCCAGGATACAGAAGTTAAAAACAAGAGAAGAAAGCAAAAGAAATAAGTAACAAAAACTACACCATCACGATATTTAATGACTAAACAATTCAAGGTAACTGAAGCTTGTTCTTTAATAATAGTGCTGAAATTTTACATGCTTTTTTACCAATTTGAGCTACTGAAATCTATTTCTATAATATTTAGTAGTATATTTTCAGAAGAAAACAACCACAACCAAAGCACACATACCTCAAAAATGGGAAATCTATAACTTAAAATACAGGAATTTCTGCTTACTTTCCTAAGCACGACAAGAAACCGATGTTTCATTGATGTGGGAAGTTGACTACTGAAGTGTTTTGTGGTTTTTTTAATTATGCTTAAAGACTCATACTGGTTTCTGTTCACTCCAGCTTGTTGCATGTTTAAATCTTCACTGTAACAGTATAAAACCAGTAGTATAATCTTGCATATCCTTTACATAGAGTGTGGGGTTTTTTTCCCAGTTTCTCACACAAAATAAGTATTAGCATTATCACAGAGGGGCCTCTAGAGGTCATTTCATCCATCTTCCTGCTCAAAACTAGTCCCAGTACAACAGGCTGCTCAGGAACTTGGCCAATCAAGTTTTCAATATCTCCAAGGATGGAGCATCCACAAACTCTCAGGGCAACTAGTTCTAATATTTTATCATCTTTATAGTCAAAGATTTTTTCCCCTATGTCTAGTTTGAATTCCCCATGTTTCATCTCATGTCTGTTGTTCCTCATCCTACCCTTGTGCACCTCTGAGAAAAGTCTTCATCAGTCTCCTCTATACGCTTCCATCAGGCTGCTAGAAACAGCCACAAGACCTCCTCTAGCCTTCTCTTCTCCAGACTGAAGAAGTCCATTTCTCCTCAGCCTCTCCTTGTATGGCAACATGCTCCAGCACCTGACCGTCTTGGTGGTCTTCTGCTCAACTCACTCTAGTACATCAACATCTGTCTTCTGCTGGGTGAGGCAGAAGGGCACAAACCCAGACATGGTATGCAGATAAGGTCTCACAAGTGCCACACAGAACAGCAGAATTGCTTCTCTCAACCTGCTGACTATGCTCTTGCTATTGGGGAAAGTTCCTACCGACTCGAAGAGGGGGAACATAACCCCCATTTT